ATGCTGTCTGTAATATGTTATGATGTACATATAGCTGGAGTATGCTCTCTGTAATATGTTATGATGTACATATAGCTGGAGTATGCTCTCTGTAATATGTTATATTCTTTACTTACTTTCATGGAAATGGATTACAATGTGTTGTTTGCCAAAATGACCATCAATTGCAGTGTTTCGTCTGCTTCATTTACAATGGATAGTGGCACATCATCTGCTACACTGATGATGAGCTGTATTACTACAAAACTTCACCATTATCGTTAAAATACTATTTATTATCAGAAAATATATTGTCAACAACAATAATAAATTTGTATAAGGCACTAATGTTAGAAAGGAGAATGGCACATTGTTGGTTGGGTTGTTTGGATTCTGAAGCTCAGAAAGTACTCATTTATCCAGTCATTGAACACTCACCTTCTACCATCCTCATACAAACCGCTGTCACAATGCCCACCTCTATGTATACATTATGCACACATTATAAATACAAGTATGTTTCTAGCTTGATCAATGCACTACAGAAACATGAAAATTTGACTGGATCACCTTTTGTGACACAACTACATTCAAACCATATAACTTATATATGACAGTTGAAAAAGTTCCTTGCAGACTAACTTTTGTTCAACCAAGCAACCTTGCTGGAACCTGAATCTCTTTCGTTTTTCATGATACAAACGGTTGAACCAGGTTTATACCCGAAAATGTTACATTTTAAAACAGACAGACGTTTGTTCCTCATAAACAAACAGGTTCCTGGTTGTATGAAGCTGAGTAATATCAGCTCATATATGGAGTTATGTCCCTTTGTACTAGTTATGTCATAAAAAAGGGGAGAATAATTTCTGTCCACTTTTCCTGCAATATCCTTTGTGCTGTGATGGACTAAGCATGATACAAAACGTTAGATGATATCTTGAGACACATATTTCTTGATGATTTAAATTTATGATCAAATAGACAATGCACATCGGATAAAAACTGAAAAAAAATGTGCAACACAAAATATATAAAATTTGTATGACACAAACTGGAATGGTACGTATCAATCCATGATCTGAAGTTGAGAGTTTCCATGGAAGTTTTGTACTGGACACAGGACACAATCACTGGTCCATCTCTTTGACTGATGTGATACTTAGCTCCAATATATTCCTCCATTCTCTACAATTGTAACACATTCCACCACATCATAACAATCGGTTCTCATTGCTTGTTTACACTTGTAAAACATTATTTCCTTTAAATGAAAGACTGCAGCAATTTAACACCTGGGTTTGTGCTTTGCACATCAGATGACCGTTAGAGACGTGGTCCAGCCATTGTCTTAACAGACTGTTAACCACTTGAAGAGACATTGTCATTGAAATAAGGATAGTGCTGCTGGCAACATCAGTCGGCTTGTTACTGATACTGTAGGATTATGTGATTAACTAGGGCTGTACAATCAAATACGTCAACATCAGTCAAGAAAATTAACCAAATGTCATACAGTGGCATAAGGGGTTTGCTGGTCAAGCAGCTCACATCCAAGTGGCCAATTTTGCTGGGGGGGTTTTTGTAAAAACTATGGCGATCCAAGACCACTCGATTTTCGCCGTCGTCTGTGGAAAAATCCTGATGGCCACTTCTTGAGAAGAGAGAGTGACCATTTTCTTTTTTGTCAACTATTGCTGACATGGACAACACAGGCTCCGGCCCGTCCGGTACATAATCCGGCCATCTGTGACAAAAATTATGGCAACATAACTTTGCAATCAAAAAAATAATACTGCTTTTATCAAATAGCAATCAGTGTCAATAATGTTTGTAGTACTCAATCCAAAACTCGACTTTTCTAACAGGAAGTGTTACAGGATCAAACATTGGCTCATACTGAATTCTGTATTGCATCAAAGAGTACTGGAACCATTTTTAAAAACATTACTTAGCTTAAGTTACTATATTATCCTGCAAGAAGACCACTTCATCACTAGAATAAAGGAGGCTAGCATGGGACAATGGGATGAACTGCAAATATATAGCAGTAGATTGTTTCCAGCGATGGGCTATTAGCAATGTACGGGTAAGCTATTTCCTCAACATAAAGTCACTTACATGAGAGCACGGATTGTTTGGGAATGACATATGGGTATAACATGATCCCTAAGTAATCTAGGGAAGATTACGTTACCTTTCATTTACACATGCACACATTGCTTTTATTTTTTGAGTTACAAAACTCTTACTATTTTTATGAACATTATAATATTGTATCAGTTGCTGATAACCTTTGATCATCATGCGATTAACAAGTGAGATCTAGATCTGTCGATGCACCCGAACGTCACCATTATACAGGTATCCAATATTTAATGAACCGCAGAGACACCAGAAGGGTTTTCCAGACAACGGCAGGTTACCTTGTAACATGTCACTTTAAGCAAAACATTCTAAAAGGAGCATTTTAAGTTTAAGAAAAGTACTTGTATTAAGACTTTTGTGAAACTGGGGCTTGATATAAAGTTTACTGTCCATATTTTAAAAAGTGTGTGACTATGATAGTGTAATTGTTTTTCCTACCTTTGCCCATTCGTTGCTAACTGAGTCGTAACATTCCACATCCTGTAAGTATTGCTGACCATCATAACCTCCCACAGCAAAGATCTTGTCACCTAAAACACACACACCCACAGCGTCCCTTGGCGAGCTAATGGTGGCAATCATTGTCCATTGGTCAGTTTTGGGATCATACCTGGGATAAAAAGTACAAGTGTACTTAAACAGCGACCACTGGCCATGTACCATGAAATACTCTGATAATATATAATCTTTTTCTTATTATTGCATGCTTTAATTTTGATTTAATCATTTTGCTCAATAAGCACTGAGCAAAGAAGACTGTATTCAGATATAATTGCGCTTAGTTAAGAATCTTAAGATTAGATCATTTGTCTCCGATATCTAATAACCTAAAGAACTGTTTTATCCAGTTAAAATTAAATGTATAATAACTTACTTATTTGAATATTTATATCATAAATTCAAATTCAAGTCAGAAACAATTTGCTACATACTAACAGTAGAAACTTTCACACGGCCAATGGTGAATAGAAAAGATATTTATGATTGGAAAAAGGGGACTGGGCTAAATTAAAAGTTTGGAAAACACTTGATTAGATTGGCCACTAATGTGAATGATCTGAAGACAACATTGTTTGTCATTATCTGGACACACTAGATGTTAATTGTTCAGCACTACCTTCATGTTACCATACCTTTCTGCACATTCAAATCTGCAGCAGGTTGGGTTGGTTGCTGGTGCCTCGTGACCCCCAACAGCATACAGAAAGCCCCCCCCTGTGGTTACCCCTACACCTCCCCGCCGCTTGGACATTGGGGTACAGTGTAACCATTTGTTGGTATGAGGGTCGAAACACTCCACTGTCTTCAGACATGAGCTTCCATCCCTACCTCCTACGGCATACAATCTAGAAATTAAATAATAGAATCCAATTTCAACAAAATGTCCCATAGAAAAAGATAATTTTGAAATTGTTCAACTCTGAATAAAAATAAATAAGTTGTCTGAGTATGTATACTTACTTTCCCATGAGAACAGCCACCCCCACAGTACTTCGTGACGTTGACATGGGGGCAACATAGCTCCACTGGCGAGCCTGAGGATCCCAACGCTCCACTGTGTTGAGGTAGGACCAGCCATCATGTCCCCCTACAGCATACATCGGTCCCTCTAACACTCCAACACCTTCAATAAAGCCAGGGCTGTCACATATTTACCAACAAACATTGACCTTGGGGACACAGTAGACAAGAGGTTAAGGCATCTGACCGCCAACGATCACTAGTCCTCAAACACTGGATTGCAAGTTCAGGCCTAGGTACTGGTCGCATTTTCTGACACTTACTTAAATGACCATAGCTAGTAATGGTATAAATATTATACCAATATATGAATATCCTCCAATATATGGAATAGATGATAGGTTCAACATCCCTAGTTTCGCTCATAGGTATATAATATTTTCATTAAATTTGGAGGTTTGGCTCGGCCTCTGAACACTGTTATTTGGAGGCTTGGCTCGGCCTTTGAACACTGTTATTTGGAGGCTTGGCTCGGCCTCTGAACACTGTTATTTATAGGCTTGGCTTGGCCTTTGAACACTGTTATTATATAAGAGGTCCAGACCTACATCATTATTTCTAATGAAACAGAATTATATGGAAACATATCTTTTTAAACTTCGACCCTTCAACTTACACCTTTCCGATATTTTCACTTTTGCATTACAGCCTCAACTTTCTACTTAATCTAAGATGGTCTGTAATAAGAACATATTTCCAAGACAATACTAATTTTATGTCTATATTTTCACAGCAAAAATCACTAATACCTTTACGCTGAAATGTTGATACCTACCTAACCCATGTCTATGTGTTGACATAGGGGGCATGAGACTCCAGGACTTTTTCTTAGTGTCATAACACTCAACAGTGTTAAGGGTCTTTAAGCCGTCCCGACCCCCCACAATGTAAAGTTTATCTTCAATAACTGCCACTCCAAACTGGAGGCGACGCCCACTCATGTTGGCTACTTGTGTCCAGTTGTTGGTCCGAAGGTCATACTTTTCAATAGTAGTTGCACCTATACACAACAAATGAATAAAAGCAATGAAATAGGACAGAGTATTGAAATCATAAATTTAATATTATGATACTGTAGCCATGACCTGATAATTATATTACTGTTTTAAGAGAAGTGAAAAGTTCAGTCTTCCTGATCACAAGCCTCCCTCATCATATGACAACTCACAGACATCTCCAGGAAAAGTGACTGAACTATGACAAAGTTGAATTACTAGGATACTTTTTTACAGAAGTCAATATATCCTGGTAAAGACTGGCTGGATTGTAGGAAGACCATCAGATTGTTTAAGCTGGATGAACAAGCAACAATTTTATTGTATACAACAGGTGTTAAAATTACATGTTTACCAAACATTTTCAAAAAAATATTATTACAATAGTATCTTTAATGCATAAATCCTATGTATGTCCAAATAAAACTCCCCCTCCCCACACACAATACCCTCTCCCAACTCCGATACATGAACAATACCGCCACTTCCCCTTTATATTAGTTTCCTCCACCTATCACTATTGGATACCCCAAGGTGCTAGGTCAGGAGCTCTGGGCTATGTCAAATTAAAACTGCCCCTTTTCAAATTAAATTTCCACAAACTTCTTGTCAATAATCACTGAGAGAGACAGTATCTATATAATTACTGTCTGTGATGAGATACAATGGTGTTTAGATGATCATTTCATCAGAAACAACCAGACATTCTTTATTTGGGCAATGGATCAAGAACAAGATATGTTAATCTCCAGATGAATTTATCAGCAAGTATTATGTGTTTACCAAGCACCACTGAAATAACGGCCAAGACTCTTTGCAAAACCGAGAGACCTGGGGGCCTTAATAGCTCACCTGGTATTTTATTTTCAATTTAATACCTGCAGAATAACATATAAAAGGAGTACAAGAATTACAAGCTGCAAGAAGAATTAACTATGTTTGGTTGGGTAAATCACCAAGAACTGTTTGGGTGGGTAAATCACCAAGAACTGTTTGGGTGAGTCAAACACCAAGAACTGTTTGGGTGGGTAAAACACAAAGAATTGTTTGGGTGAGTAAGACACAAAGAATTGTTTGGGTGAGTAAGACACGAAGAACTGTTTGGGTGGGTAAGACACCAAGAACTGTTTGGGTGGGTAAGACACAAAGAATTGTTTGGGTGAGTAAGACCCAAAGAATTGTTTGGGTGAGTAAGACAGAAAGAATTGTTTGGGTGAGTAAGACACAAAGAACTGTTTGGGTGGGTAAGACACCAAGAACTGTTTGGGTGGGTAAAACACAAAGAATTGTTTGGGTGAGTAAGACCCAAAGAATTGTTTGGGTGAGTAAGACAGAAAGAATTGTTGGGGTGAGTAAGACACAAAGAACTGTTTGGGTGGGTAAGACACTAAGAACTGTTTGGGTGGGTAAGACACCAAGAACTGTTTGGGTGGGTAAATCCCCAAGAACTGTTTGGGTGAGTCAAACACCAAGAACTGTTTGGGTGGGTAAAACACAAAGAATTGTTTGGGTGAGTAAGACACAAAGAATTGTCTGGGTGAGTAAGACACAAAGAACTGTTTGGGTGGGTAAGACACCAAACTGTTTAGGTGGATAAGACACAAAGAACTGGTTGGGTGAGTAAGACACCAATAACTGTTTAGGTGGGTAAGTCACAAAAAATTGTTTGGGTGAGTAAGACACAAAGAACTGTTTAGGTGGGTAAAACACATGGGTAAGACACCAAGAACTGTTTGAGTGGGTAAAACACATGGGTAAGACACCAAGAACTGTTTGGGTGGGTAAAACACCAAATGATAATTTGACATGTTAAATGTTAAATTATAGTTTGTATACAATTATATGTACTTCTACATACATGGCTTGTTTAGTGTATGTTTTGTTTAGTCATGAATTCATAATGTTAAAAAATGCACTTAAATGTTCATGTACATTTTGTATCTTTTCTTTGTGTTGCTTAATATTACAAGAATGTATGCTTTGGCAGGTCTATTTCCTGTGTTGTGTCCATATGCATCTTGATATGTAGCTATATAGCTAGTCATATCTCTATGCAAGTTGTTGATATATTTATGCTAATGAGTGGGGTAGATTTTGACTAATCAGCATTATCCCCTAGAGGGGTATTAGCATTGACAGCATCCTATTCATTCTTTGTTTTTGGCGGATTATCATAGTTTGTTTTTACGTATATTCCTCGACTTTTCAAGTGTTTACTACACTATGGATTTATCTTAAACTACACCACGATTACTCAGTGACAGTCATCGCCGTATGATTTAACTTTCGCCAGTTTGTTTGACCATGCCAACCTACACCTTAGGGTATATAACGTTAATATTTAGGCCTATCGACAATATTGTGAGACAATAGTTTTAAGACATGGGGTTTAAACGTAGGAATTCTAGAGTTGTTCCGTACGATCCGGATAGCTCGTTTCCGATAGGAATTGACAAGATTGACGGTACCGTTCAGTGCCAACGAGAAACGAATAGGTTTGGAAAAAAATTTGAGAGACTCGAGGTCAAGAGGTGCGCGATCCCACAATTCCGTGTGACAAGATGGAGACCAGGTTACTTCGAATCGTGAGGATGGTTCGCATACGCAAATGTTGGTCGACATCGTCACTAGTTTGGCGGAGAGTGTGTCAACACTAGTACTACAGGACAGTTATGTCAGACTGGAAAGGCGATTAAGTGATTCTGTTACTAGCGACGAGGATCCTTAATCAACCTCAAGCAGAGTACACCTTAGAGACCGTGTACAGGAGTTGAGAAACAAACGTATCACCAGCATGCACTTTCGAAGTTTCCAGATGAAATCCGTCCTACAGGCTCCCTGAACAGGGAAGAATGTTGACACTGTCACAACAACAACACGTGTGTATCTTTACTTGCTAAAGATTAATCACATCCGAGGTGTCCCGAATGCAACGCTTTGGGTTTAAATGAATGTCGAGTCTTACTAAAGTCCTTGGTTCATACCAGGCCGGTTCCAGGCTATTGGGCTACTTCCAGGGCTTTATGATATCGTCTATTCTGCATACTACGTGGGCGCTATTGTGGTGTTTGGGTTCTTTTTCAGAAAACGACGAGTACCATATATCTTTGTATAGTGGGTAATTTATTTCCCCTGTATTTGTTCCAACACTTAATGCGGGAAATATATCGCGCAATGCGACAGGTGTCAGAGGTCAGTTTGTCACTGGTCAAACAGGTAAACAACATTCACAATTACGTCACACTAGCATACATTCCATTCAAAACTAAAGTAACACACTGGACTAGGCAACAGCGATTGCGGAGTGCGGATTAAAATCAACAACACAACATTATACAAAGTTATACTAATTAGACTCTTTATATTTTACGGAATCTTTAGGAATATAAAGAATTAAAATAAATTGACAAATCTAACAGGGTGCCACACAGCCAGCATGCAGCAGTTTTCAACATGTGGTCCCTTTTCTTGAGTAATTGGACAAAGTATCCTTCTTCTTGGATGACCATTTACAGCTCCCGCTGACTACATTTGTTCACTGATGCTACACCTGAATCGTTCGGAGGTATATTCTTGAACAAGTGGTTTAAGGGTGTCTTTCCTCCCAGTCTTAAGAAACAAGACCCATCTATGACCCTTTTTGAACTTTACCCCATAGTGATGGCTTGTGTTTTGTGGGGCCATCAGTGGCATGAGAAACGTATCTTGTTCCATTGTGACAATTTGGCCACTGTAGAAATTATTTCTAAAGCTCCTTCTCTAGGTCTATTCGATTTCAAGTCTTAGAGTCAAGTCGCTTCTCTGCAGCACAGTAGAGTCAAGCTTCTTCTCTAGGTCTATTCGATTTCCAGTCTTAAGAGTCAAGTCGCTTCTCTGCAGCACAGTAGAGTCAAGCTCCTTCTCTAGGTCTATTCGATTTCAAGTCTTACAGTCAAGTCGCTTCTCTGCAGCACAGTAGAGTCAAGCTCCTTCTCTAGGTCTATTCGATTTCAAGTCTTAGAGTCAAGTCGCTTCTCTGCAGCACAGTAGAGTCAAGCTCCTTCTCTAGGTCTATTCGATTTCAAGTCATAGAGTCAAGTTGCTTCTCTGCAGCACAGTATAGTCAAGCTCCTTCTCTAGGTCTATTCGATTTCCAGTCTTATGAGTCAAGACGCTTCTCTGCAGCACAGTAGAATTAAGCTTCTTCTCTAGGTCTATTCGATTTCAAGTCTTATGAGTCAAGACTCTTCTCTGCAGCTCAGTAGAGTCAGGCTTCTTCTCTAGGTCTATTCACTTTCAAGTCTTATGAGTCAAGACTCTTCTCTGCAGCTCAGTAGAGTCAGGCTTCTTCTCTAGGTCTATTCGATTTCAAGTCTTACAGTCAAGTCGCTTCTCTGCAGCCCAGTATAGTCAAGCTCCTTCTCTAGGTCTATTTGATTTCAAGTCAAAGAGTCAAGTCGCTTCTCTGCAGCACACTAGAGTCAAGCTCCTTCTCTAGGTTTATTCGATTTCCAGTCTTAAGAGTCAAGTCGATTCTCTGCAGCACAGTAGAGTCAAGCTTCCTCTCTAGGTCTATTCGAGTTCAAGTCTTATTAGTCAAGTCGCTTCTCTGCAGCCCAGTATAGTCAAGCTCCTTCTCTAGGTTTATTCGATTTCCAGTCTTATGAGTCAAGTCGCTCCTCTGCAGCATAGAAAGTTAAGCTTCTTCTCTCGGTCTTTTCGATTTCAAGTCTTATGAGTAAAGACGCTTCTCTGCAGCTCAGTAGAGTCAAGCTTCTTCTCCAGGGCTATTCGATTTCAAGTCTTAGAGTCAAGCTGCTTCTCTGCAGCACAGGAGAGTCAAGCTCCTTCTCTAGGCCTATTCGATTTTGAGTCTTAGAGTCAAGCTGCTTCTCTGCAGCACAGGAGAGTCAAGCTCCTTCTCTAGGGCTATTCGATTTCAAGTCTTACAGTCAAGTCGCTTCTCTGCAGCACAGGATAAACAAACACCTTCTCTAGGTCTATTCGATTTCAAGTCTTGTGAGTC